GAAGTTTTAGTTTGGAGTGCGAAGAGCGCAGTGTGAAGTGTGAAGTGTGAGGTTTGGAGTGTGAAGGAAGCAGTGAGAAGTGAGAAGTGTGAAGGGTGAAGTGTGAGTGAAGTGTGGAGTGTGAAGTGCGAAGTGAGAAGTGTGAAGTGTGAAGTTTGGAGTGTGAAGTTTGGAGTGGGAAGGAAGCAGTGAGAAGTGAGAAGTGTGAAGTGTGGACTGTGAAGTGTGGAGTGTGAAGGGCGAAGTGAGAAGTGTGAAGTTTGGAGTGTGAAGGAAGCAGTGAGAAGTGAGAAGTGTGAAGTGAGAAGTGTGAAGTGTGGACTGTGAAGTGTGGAGGGCGAAGAGCGCAGCGTGAAGTGTGAAGTGTGAAGTGTGAGGTTTGGAGTGTGAAGGAAGCAGTGAGAAGTGTGAAGTGTGGACTGTGAAGTGTGGAGTGTGAGTGAAGTGTGGAGTGTGAAGTGCGAAGTGAGAAGTGTGAAGTGTGAAGTTTGGAGTGTGAAGTTTGGAGTGGGAAGGAAGCAGTGAGAAGTGGTGAAGTGTGAAGTGTGTGTGAAGTGTGGAGTGTGAAGTGCGAAGTGAGAAGTGTGAAGTTTGGAGTGTGAAGGAAGCAGTGAGAAGTGAGAAGTGTGAAGTGAGAAGTGTGAAGTGTGGACTGTGAAGTGTGGAGTGTGAAGTGCGAAGTGAGAAGTGTGAAGTGTGAATTGTTGGTTTTGGAGTGTGAAGAAAGGCAGTGAGAAGTGTGAAGTTGGGGACTGTGAAGTGTTGGGGAAGTGTGAGTGAAGTGTGAGTGCGAAGTGCGAAGTGAGAAGTGTGAAGTGTGATTTTTTGTAGTGTGGAAGTTTTGGAGTGGGAAGGAAGCATGAGAAGTGAGAAGTTGAAGTGTGGAGTGTGAAGTGTGAGTGCGAAGTGAGAAGTGTGAAGTGTGAAGTTTGGAGTGTGAAGGAAGCAGTGAGAAGTGAGAAGTGTGAAGTGTGGACTGTGAAGTGTGAAGTGTGAAATGTGGAGTGTGAGTGCGAAGTGAGAAGTGTGAAGTGTGAAGTTTGGAGTGTGAAGGAAGCAGTGAGAAGTGAGAAGTGTGAAATGTGGAGTGTGAAGTGTGAAATGCGAAGTGAGAAGTGTGGACTGTGAAGTGTGAAGTGTGAAGTGTGGACTGTGAAGTACGAAGTGTGAAGTGTGGGCTGTGAAGTGTGAAGTGTGAAGTGTGGACTGTGAAGTGTGGAGTGTGAAGTGCGAAGTGAGAAGTGTGAAGTTTGGAGTGTGAAGGAAGCAGTGAGAAGTGAGAAGTGTGAAGTGAGAAGTGTGAAGTGTTGACTGTGAAAAGTGTGGATGCCAAGAGCTGCAGCGTGAAGTGTGAAGTGTGAATTGTGAGGTTTGGAGTGTGAGGAAGCAGTGAGAGTGTGAAGTGTGGAAACTGTGAAGTTGTGAATGTGAGTGAAGTGTGGAGTGTGAGTGCGAATTGCTAAGTGTAAAGTGTAAAGTGTGGAGTGTGGAGTTAGGAGTGTGAAGGAAGCAGTGAGAAGTGAGAAGTGTGAAGTGTGGAGTGTGAAGTGCAAAGTGAGAAGTGTGAAGTGTGAAGTGTGAAGTTTGGAGTGTGAAGGAAGCAGTGAGAAGTGAGAAGTGTGAAGTGTGAAGTGCGAAGTGAGAAGTGTGGACTGTGAAGTGTGAAGTGTTGACTGTGAAGTGTGAAGTGTGGACTGTGAAGTGTGAAGTGTGCAGTGTGAAGTGTGAAGTGTGAAGTGTGAGGTTTGGAGTGTGAAGGAAGCAGTGAGAAGTGTGAAGTGTGGACTGTGAAGTGTGAGTGAAGTGTGGAGTGCGAAGTGCGAAGTGAGAAGTGTGAGTTTTGGAGTGTGAAGTTTGGAGTGGGAAGGAAGCAGTGAGAAGTGAGAAGTGTGAAGTGTGGAGTGTGAAGTGTGGAGTGTGAAGTGCGAAGTGAGAAGTGTGAAGTTAGGAGTGTGAAGAAAGCAGTGAGAAGTGAGAAGTGTGAAGTGCGAAGTGAGAAGTGTGAAGTGTGAAGTTTGGAGTGTGAAGGAAGCAGTGAGAAGTGAGAAGTGTGAAATGTGGAGTGTGAAGTGTGAAATGCGAAGTGAGAAGTGTGGACTGTGAAGTGTGAAGTGTGAAGTGTGGACTGTGAAGTGTGAAGTGTGAAGTGTGGACTGTGAAGTGTGAAGTGTGCAGTGTGAAGTGTGGACTGTGAAGTGTGAAGTGTGCAGTGTGAAGTGTGAAGTGTGAGGTTTGGAGTGTGAAGGAAGCAGTGAGAAGTGAGAAGTGTGGAGTCTGAAGTGTGGAGTGTGAAGTTTGAAGTTTGGAGTGCGAAGAGTGCAGTGTGCAGTGTGCAGTGTGAGGTGTGGAGTGTCGAGGGAAGGACACGGTCGGGACAGGGTGTCTTTGAACTATAGGTCATTTATGTTTGGGAAACTTCCGCCGCCGGCTTGCCCGGGTCTATGTTAATTTGTTTTAATTTGTTTCCAAGCTGATGAGAACCCCTCTGATGAGACTCCTTGTTCTCACAGAAGATGGTATACATAACCCTATTTGCAAGTCTGCGGCATATTCTATGTGAGAGCCTAGGGACAAAACATGGGACCTTAAACGAACTTGGAAATGTGCCACTCCTAGAAGCTCATGTCATATGTTTCTTGCGCTACAGATTGGTATGATTTAATACCCAAATAAGAAATCTCGAACTCAGTGTTGTCATCGGACCAAACAAACCCAAAAAAACCCTTAGCCAGCGTGATATAGCGTGACATACCGTTTACCCGTGAAACGATGTTTACCCGAGGAAAAAGGCCACCCCATTCCCCAGAAATCTCCAGAATATATCTATTTCTTGTGTTCGATTAACAAGTCGGATCACCCGGATGCAATCAAATTCCATGACTGGATTTCGTTCAGCACCTCTCCCGGGTTGTTTGCTTGATGAGTTTGAGGGGATAGCCCGACGCCCGCTCTCATGCAAACATACGCATGGTTGAGTGAAAACTAGACAAAATCCTTTGGAAAAGTATGTGTCAAATGTGATTCAAAGTGATATCGTATGAGTTTAACTGATGAAACATGTCCGAAATCAAGACTCGGCAGCAGTAGAAAAGTTTGAGAAATTTGCTGCACCAAATGTCTCAAGGGTAAACATCGACATTGATGAGTAAACATCAACAGTACACAAATGCGTAGGTAAACGTCAACATGGGAATTACTATGTATCTATGTATATATGGATCTATGGATCTATGTATGTATGTATGTATGTATGTATGTATGTATGAGTCTATGTATCTTTGTATCTTTGTATCTTTGTATCTTTGTATCTATGTATGTATGTATGTATCTATCCATCTATCTATCTATGTATCTATGTATCTATGTATCTAAGATCTATGTATCTATGTATATCTATGTGTATCTCTGTATATCTATGCAAATCTATGCATATCTATGTATATCTATGTAACTATGTATGTATGTAATGTAATGTAATGTAATGTAGTGTAGTAATTAGTGTAGTGTACTGTAGTGTAGTGTAGCGTAGTGTAATGTAATGTATCGTAATGTAATGTACGTATGTATGTAAGTATGTATGTATGTATGAAAGTAAGTATGTAAGTAAGTAAGTATGTATGTATGTATGTATGAGTCTATGTATCTTTGTATCTTTGTATCTTTGTATCTTTGTATCTTTGTATCTATGTATGTATGTATCTATCCATCTATCTATGTATCTATGTATCTATGTATCTAAGATCTATGTATCTATGTATATCTATGTGTATCTCTGTATATCTATGCAAATCTATGCATATCTATGTATATCTATGTAACTATGTATGTATGTAATGTAATGTAATGTAATGTAGTGTAGTAATTAGTGTAGTGTACTGTAGTGTAGTGTAGCGTAGTGTAATGTAATGTATCGTAATGTAATGTACGTATGTATGTAAGTATGTATGTATGTATGAAAGTAAGTATGTAAGTAAGTAAGTATGTATGTATGTATGTATGAGTCTATGTATCTTTGTATCTTTGTATCTTTGTATCTTTGTATCTTTGTATCTATGTATGTATGTATCTATCCATCTATCTATGTATCTATGTATCTATGTATCTAAGATCTATGTATCTATGTATATCTATGTGTATCTCTGTATATCTATGCAAATCTATGCATATCTATGTATATCTATGTAACTATGTATGTATGTAATGTAATGTAATGTAATGTAGTGTAGTAATTAGTGTAGTGTACTGTAGTGTAGTGTAGCGTAGTGTAATGTAATGTATCGTAATGTAATGTACGTATGTATGTAAGTAAGTATGTATGTATGTATGAAAGTAAGTATGTAAGCAAGTAAGTAAGTAAGTATGTATGTATGTATGTATGATATATGATATGGAAAATATGTCAGTGCGTGAAAACCTATATCTGTGCGCAAGTAGCTAATTGAATTCATATATCAATGTACCTATGTACGGAAATACCAACTCTGTTTGTCTCGACGTGAAAACATGCTTGCAAATAGACGTGTTCTTATATGTGTCCAAAGAACACTTTGAATAAAGCGATATTGGTATGTTTGGGTATGTGCTTCAACGCGTAGATATGCACTAAGTTCAAACACATCAACGTATACCAACAAATACATCAACGTATACCAACAAATACATACAAATACTACATACGAGTACGTATCATAAAAATGATTTATATTTTTTGTAACGATTTATACGCGCGGCACGTGGATATGTTTTGAAGATAGTACACCATATTCTAAAAATTACCGGCACTGGCAAAACACCGCTTTCCTAGCATTGCGTTGCACACAGGGGCACATTGATTTCTGGAATCTCAGATCTGGTAATCAAACATGGCAATGGAAAATCTCTTTAAATGGAGGTTTTGATGGGAACATCATCTATAGATGATGGTTTTAAGTTGTTTTTTTTGAAATCTTATGGGAAAATGATCTTTCTCTGTTCAGGTTTTAATGGGACATTTCAGAGGTTCAAGTGGAGCGACCATTGTAGAGGGCAATGCTCTGGCCCTTCACCGTCTCTTTGGTGTAGCCATGCAGCTGCAGCGATTCATAGCATTTCTCAAGGCACAAGCGCAAGCAGGGGGCCCAACAAGCTGCATCTTTGTCCGGGATGCCGAAAAACTGGTTGTCAAAGCCCAGAATTTCATCATCTGGGAAGAGCCCAGCGTGTTTCCTGAGGCTGTTGCGGTAAAGGTGGGCAGGATGAATCTGCCCAGATTTCAGGCCGCAAATGGGCACGCCCCAGCTCTTACAGGACCCGATCGGCAGAAAATGATAATAATGGGCAGAAGCATGCTCAAACCCTGAGGCAGGCTGCAGACAGTGCAGGGAGGGTGGCCCAAACCTATTCAAATGATTTCAGGGTGGTTTGATCCATCCTGGTCCATTTTAATCATTTTGTGGATTTGAGGATTGTTTTGAACAAAGCTGATAATGTGGGTGCGAAAGCGCCGCACATTGAATGCCTGAGCTTTAACTCTCACCATGCTTCGTGTATGACTTCGGTGGCCCAATGTAATTGTCAGGATCATCTGTGTAGTACACGCTGACGTCCCAGCGCAAGGCCGGCATCTCCAGGAAGGTGTCCGTCTGCGCGGAGAACATCGTGTGCTGATTCAGCGAGTTGCTGACACGTCCCGGCAGCATGGGTGACATGCTCATGATGTTCACCTGATCGGTCATGGGAACAGCCTGGCCTTGGATCGAAGGCATACCTTAGGGCGGCCAGAGCCCCCAAAAGTAGCTGAGTATTCATCTCTGGTGGCTATGGTTTAAGAGTGTTTGAGTTCATGCAACACCACTTCTGCAATCTATCCTGCAACCTACCAACTGTCCGTGACATGCCTTTGAAGCGTGTTGAAGCAAACGAAAACGTGACTTGAAGAACTTCAGCCCACTATCAATCCATATTAGCCCTTGACCTAGCCACCTAGAGGCCGCTGGTTTGCCCTGGCGGCCACCCTAAGTGGTGCTTTCCAGCCCTGAATGTCCAGGTGAGCAATCACGCGGACATGAATAATTCATAAACATTGACAAGACATCGAAACATGATAAACATGGATAAAAGTGGCTGAAACCACCAACAAAACCAACATTTCATGATGATCATGAAGCAGCTCTGAACGGCGTCAGCATGTTGTCACCTTGCATTCCCGATGGTGGAAGCACCACACGTCATCAGCTGTTTTTTCCAGTTTTGATAATCTCAAATAATTATGTTTGATCCTGAATCTCAAATCCACAGCCCAAGGGCCAACATTCCCCGCATTGGATGGTGGGAAAATTTAGAGTAACACCCAGTGCTTTTCTGTAGGTTTTCCATAGTTTTCCCTTCAATGCGTTGAAACATGAAGCACAGGATCCAACGCCATCACCGCCATCACCAAGCTGCCATAGACCTCTTCCATCCCGCGGTAATCGCCATCCAAGCCTTGCAGGTCATACCTTTCTTTAAGGGCGACCAACCAGCCCTGCAGTGCATAGCCAGATGCTGCTGCATAGGTGTAAGTCAGTTGGTCGTGGCGAAAAATCACCTGGAACAACCAGGATCCCTACCAATTTGTTGTACTTAAAGGTGGCCAAAAATTTGCGAAAAGCAGTTTTGGTTCCCGATTGCGCATCTGAACATCGCAAGGAACCCCAACATCAACATTTTCAATAAAAGGCTAGAAACAGTTTAAAAACAGGTCTTATAGACGTCTAAAATCACGGAATGCGCAAGGTATCACAAGGTACAGCTTTCCAAAATCAACATCAGGCTTAGGTTTTTCAGCCAAGGTCACCATGGTATTGCTGGACAGCTGCACTTTTGCTGGAGGCACTGAGCAGGACTCACCTTGTGGATATAACTCCAGATGGCCACCCTTAGGGGCTTGCAAGACCTAGGTGGACAAGCTATAGCAGCTACCCCCCGGTAAACTAACACAGCTATTGAAAATGGTCATCTATAATTAGTTGAGTTTTACCCATTAAAAAAATGCGATTTCCCATAGTTATGTTAGTTTACCAGATGGTAATAGCAGCTGCTGTTTTCGAACAGGGCAACTTTGCACTTCTGAACTGGACTTAGTGACTTCTTCCTTGCCAAAAAAAACACGGGGACACATGTCACTGGCACATGCACATCATAGCACATCCATGTATGCACTCATCTGAGACGTGTTGTGCCAGTGCATGCGGGGGAAATCTATCTGAGCATCGGGACACAGAACCCGTATTCCAAAGTCTTCATCACCCAAACTATTTTTGGAATCTTTGGTGTCATGACCAAGCGTCAAAAATTGTACAAAGTGTATGCGTAAGCATAATAAGTATCTATCTGTCCATCCATCCATCCGTCCATCTACCCAGACATATTTCAACATACATCGTGTTTGTGGCAAGGCTCGTAGAGGAAGCAAAGCCGCCGAGCTTGGAGAAATCCCAGGTACTGCTCAACATATCCTTGATCCACCTCCTCCTGCCCCGATCCCAGGCGATCCCGGTTTCCCACCGTATAATACGGTAGCCTTGGCACAATGAATATACCACTCTCTCTATCACTTCATCATCATCCATATCTAGGCGGCTCATGATTGCGTAATTATCTGGGTAAATTATAATATTTCACTAACCTGAATTAAGGCCATTTGCGGGATTATTTCCCTTATAACCATGACTCCAGTGAGGTCCCAGTGAGGTCGTTATGATTTACTCAAAATTACCCTCTGGCTATTTGACATAGCCATGGAAAATCACCAATTTGAATAGGTAAACCACTATAAATGGGCCATTTCCCATAGCTATGTTAAATAGCCAGAGGGTATGTATTTTCAATGGCTGCAGCATAGGCAATGTATGATTTCTGGTGGGCAATGGCCAATGGCAAGGCTTTCCCCTCTCCTCCGTCAAGGGCCCAGGGCTCAGGTGGCGCCTCTCTCCCCGTTGCAAGGGCTCGCGGAGGAGCATCTGCTGCAGTCCTAAGCCCCAGATCCAAGGGTCCAAGGGGATGAAACTGCATAATTGATATCCAATTAATAGATATTAGTAGTAGTATATATATATGATAATAATAATAATGATAACAATAATAATAAATATATATATATATACAAAATACATAAATGATGTAAAATGACAAATTTCATCAAATTTCACCCCTCTTGATTGGCCATGGCATATGATTATATATGACTCACCTGCAATAGGTTGGCTTCAAAATTAAGTAGGGTTGTTTTGAGCCCCCTTTACTCAGCTTGACATGGTCCACTAAAATGCATGCATGGGCATGCATAGGCATTTCTTTTCTTGTTCGATATGTACATAATTGATTATAACTAGGTATTCATAAATTGAATATATATATATATATATAATGGATATATATATATATATATACTGGGTATATATATAATGGATATATATATATACATATTATTGTATGTGATGGATATCATCGGATATTGATTATTGATATGACTGCTTTCCACAACACGCTTCAACGCGAAGCAAACCTTGATCATGGAACATTGACGTGTGGCGCCATAAGCCCCTACTGAATGCTAAGATGTCACAAATATAAGTTGATATCAGGCTTATTGATTGAAGAATAAGAGTTTGAGACTCCCCTTGAGACTTGAGACATGATAAGACATATATATACATATATATATATACTGTAGCCTCCCCAAAAAAAGGGAACACCATTCTGTTTTGAAATGTATGGCACGGATTCACCATTCTTGGCCATTTCTTGGAGCATTTGTATGCATTTGTATGCATTTCTGGCTTCTCGACCAAGCATCCAGACACGGCCTGGAATCCCATTTGCTGACCGAAGTCCTGCCCGACCGCCAGAGCCAAGTCGTTCATCCGCTGCAGGCATCCGCTGAGCGGCTCCGGAGCGGTGTCCACGTGCTGGTCCAAAAAGGAGGCTTTGCACTTGGAACGTCGTCCCAGGACGCCCTCTTCAAGCTCCAAATGTGGCAGCGTGGCACCTGGTGTCAGAAACTCATAGAAATCATAGATACTGATGGGGGAATGGGGGCAGTTGGTAAGTTGATCCAGCCACAAACTGACAGCATATGTCTGGAAATAGTTTTATTTGTTTATAGTTTGTTAACGAAGTCACCCTTTTGATGCCACCTATCAGGCTTGGAACTGGGGAAGTGGGACGATGAAGACCTGCACATCTCTATGGTGTGGCCAAGCAAATGAACACTTCCAACTGGGTATGATATGTATGATGATGTACTAGACTGCCGAATTGGAGAAACATTGGTATGGCGTTTTATCATGTCTTATCATTATTGGATCATTTTTTGCGGAAGAATTTCCAATCATCGTCATTATTTATGAGTGCTTTTCCAGCACCCTGCAACTATCTCTCTGTTCAAACACCACGAACACCAGGCACCGGCCAGTTTTCGGGCGGTTTCCACCACGAGCTCCGATTGCTCCAGCTCCGGCGCACGGATCTTGCAATAGCCTTGCTGCCTCAAAGCACTGCCTCGGCCCCAGCCATGGACTCTATGGATTCAAAGCTGTAAAATCTGTGGAATTTATAGGCCCCCCCCTTGGCTCATAAAAACCCCAAGGGCCCCAGAAAAAAATACTATAGTACTTCCATGTTCGAAACATGGGAAGATGGGAATGAAGGTCCCCTACAACATCCATGGAAAAAGATATGACATTTTTGGGGGTCAAGGTATGGCAACTGGCCATAGAAGGTGGTCTCAAACAAAAACTTGGATACAGTTGGCATCACTTTGCAATTAATGTTCCAGGATATGTTGCAGATTATGTATTTGGATGCTGGTGCCGGAAACATCTCCATTTTTGAGGTTCAGTTTGGAGTAGTACCGCGGTACTCGTGACCAGTGTCAGACCTCCTGCATCCCAGGTTGAGCACAAGGGAACTTCAAGCACTTCAAAATGGCGTTGGTGGTCTGACTAAAAAGGAGCACATGCACACAATCACATTTGACTTCGGTTTGGACGAATATAAGTTCTTGCAGGAAATTAAATTGTATCAAATCAATTCAAATCAGAAGATAAAGGGGGGCAGTGTATAGATGCCTTAGATTGCAGTAGGCCTTCTATGCCCTACCCTTCCCATAAACAAAGACTTTGGCCTAGCTACATACGGATTGTGAGAACTCCGCAGAAATCACCGGTGGCAAGCTAAGCTCGGCTGCAACCAACATCGCCCCAATGGCAAGAATGATGGGCCGATGATGGATTTCTTTTTATTGCCTGTAATTACGTCTACATGAATGAATTTTGCTTCTGCACTGGAGTAGTAAGAAAGTGTCTCACTCGCTTGGTAAAAGGGAAAACCTTTTTGCTAAATACAAGTGCCTGTGTTCTGATAGCTACTAATTTGTCAATGGCGAGTCGAGCTCTATTCCTAATTTCCAAGTAATTATCTACTTTTCGATGTGGAAGCCACTTTTCTGGCCTCGCATCTGAGAACTTTCAGTTGCAATTTGGACAATGAGTGGGCTAAATTGGTTTTCATCTTTGGGTGACTCGAATTAAACAGCTCGAGCCATCTTCGGAACAATTCCGAGTTGATATTTAGCGATGTACATACGTATGTACATCATGTTCTGTGCCCAAAAAAGGGCAGTTGGACAGCTCCAGAATTGCTCTGGTTCAAACGGTCGCAAGAACAATTGGATATGCATGGGTATGCATGTTGCTAACTCTTTACGCATCCGGAGTCTGCAGAACCGGAAGCTGCTAGGTCGAGGCATCTAGACTAAGCCAACATTGGAGTTTGAGAAAATTCTGTCAAAAATATATACTGTACATGAGTTAACAAGCTATGAACAAGCATACATTTGTTCATGACCTTGGTTTCCGCTACATTCGATTAAAACTGACACAACTTCTCTAGCAATCCTCACCCCGCCCACCCCTTCGTCATGCAAAGAACCAGTCCAGCACGAGTCCAGCACCTCTGAGATCCCACGCATCCCATTGCTTCTCAGGAGTATCCCGAGAGTGGTGCACAATGAGATTCTCAGCTTTCCGCCTGCAGTGGCTGCAGATGTCAATTTCTGCCACTTGCTAAGTATGACATGCTGCAGTGATAATTAGTTAGGTATGGCAATTGTATGCAATTGTAATCATCACATTTTCGGCCTACCCACTTTTGATTCATAGGGTCTGAATAGGTCACAACATCTCATAACTCTCACTTCAAGGTTGCCAGCAGAGCCCTTCCCGGCTAGGTGCCAGTACCAGTATATTTGCAGGACCTTTTTTTTTGGATATATAGATGACCAGAGACCAATATATATGGATATCTATGGTGAATCAATGGAACTCAGCTTAAGGCAAACCAGCCCTGCTTCGCCTCGAGCCCCCCAGCCCTGCTTCAACTGCCTCGAATTTCCTCCAGCACTGCGAGCTGCTTGAATCTCGGCCAGGACCTGGGGGCGGCCCCTTGGGATGGGCCTTACTGTAGCGGCCCGGTTCCGCGGATGTGTCGTGTTGGCGCCACCCATCACATCATTTAGCCAACAACAAACGCATGAGTATACCGCAGTATGAAGGGTCAACATCAGGAACCCCAAAATAGGATGATGATGGATGATGTTTGATGCTCAGGAAAAAACATGGTGATATGTTTTGATGTTGCTGCCCCGTGGGTCTGAAAATGAACGTCTTGTGCATTATTTTACCTAAACAGGATTGAACACGCAATATACAACTGTATAATATGACGCAACATGATACAACCCTTTTGTTGTCACAAACAAGCCCCAACGTTCGAACCTTGAGAAGGATGTCGGAAAGGCATCGCTGATAGCATGCAAGACCCACCTGGCTGAGCAAATCTTGATAAATCTTGTCCAGGAGCCTTTTGAGCCACATACCTACCTGAAGTATGGGCATGCTTTGTAAGTGGTTTCCGGCTCCCGGTAATTATAAAAGTTACATCCACTTGCTGACTTCAGTGTTGCTCCTGTCCGCCAGAGCTGTCAGTTGATCTGTGAATTTTCCAGCGGCCTTGCAACCATGAGATAGCAGCGCTGTTGCCAAACTCTTGACCTACAGATCCCCATTGAGGTGTGATAAGATGTGGGATGAATATGATGTTTGCATCAAATGGAAGCTACAAGGTTTGGGGTCAATTCTCAAAATTTCACAGAGCTCAAGTGAAGATGCTTCCGCAAGACTTCCTCCATTCGTCTCGCGCTTGCACACTTATTGGGTGAACTGAGACCCTGTAGGCAATACCCGTCATGCCCCCACGCCCGAAGTACATTGGAAACCAGATTCGGACAATTCCGCTACCAACCCTTCGCTGGTGGAAGCCAGGAAATATCCATCAACAGGTTTGTGGTTTGCAGAAAGAAGTGACGCAAAGAAGTTTGTTCAAAATTTACGATTGTAATGATTGTAACATGTCAACTTGTTGCATCTTCTTGCTATGTTTCCCCTTCAATGACTGGAATCATTCAGCAATATCAGGCATTATATGTTTGCAGCCCTCCACATCCTCCACCTCAACCCCTGCAAGGCCATGACGGCCATGATTTTGACCGCTGCTCTCAGTCTGCTTCTAAGCAAATTGATTGGACAGAGTACACCAGCTGTGAACTAGATGATGGATGCCCAGTTGCTGCGCACTTTGGGTGCAACATGGTTCAACAAGGCAAGAGAAAACACAACTTGAAGGCATCAGTTCAGACATTGTTTTTTCCATGCGCAACTCTCGACACACATCATCTTCTTGCCAACTGATGTGAGGCCAAAAAAGCCTCAGCTCACTAGGACATTTGGCACGCAGGATCCTTCAGGCGAAGGAACCATGATGGCCGGGATTTTGGCCGTCGAAGTCATGTGAATATAGAAATGTAGGTTTCAACCAAAATAAAAAACAAAGATCACCAGCACCTGAGTACAAAGACCCGTGCTACATATCTATGAAGGATCAACAGGTATCGAAACACATCTAAAATCATCAAATGAATGAAGATCAATTCCAAACCCAGTGTTCTCACAGCAAGTGTGGAAAAAACTCCCTTTCTCTCTGCATTTTTCCTTTCATGGCCAAACTCTTCAGCGCTCACTATGCGAACCGCTGATGAATCTTGGCCCAACCAGCAAGCGGAAGAATTCTGAAGTCGCCTGGCAGGCTGCGTGGGCACAACTGTACAGCACATCTCACCTGCAAAGCGGGTCATGGTAAATCAATGTAAATGATAGATAACATAATCCAGAATTCCACTGCCACCGTCCAAACAGGTCCCCATCTGGGGTTTGGTCGGAAATAGGCTAAAAAACAGACCCTGCTTCCCATGATTACAACAAATCAAAGTGAATCTTTGTGCCCAACACGCCCCGCAATGGAGCGCTCTAGACAAACCACCTCGGAACCTCAGAAAGAGAACAATGGTATTTATAGATATTTTATTTATAGGACATTATAGGATTATATGATTCTATATGCTGTCTCAATCAATTAAACTGTCACTCAAAAAGGTGCCGGATGGTGCCGGCTACGCAATCTCTAAGACACCTGATTTCACCCTGCATCCCCCTGCAATCCCACCTGCTCCCGAATCCTTCGCTGGTTTTGCCGTCTCTTTGGGCGCCGGCGTACGCAGCTCTGTTGCTGCCGGGTACGCTGTTTCTTTGGCCGCTGGCGTGGCTGCTGCAGGTGCCGGTGCTGGCTTGGGCGCGGGCGCAGGCTTCGGGGCGGGCATCACACCATCGGTGCCACGGCGGGCAATCTCCACGTTGCGGGTGATCAATTTGGAGACTTCCCAGGCACGACGCGAATCCACCTGGCTGGAACTTTTACAACACGAAGAACACCCAAAACAGCCCCATAACTTAACCATCTCAATGATTTTAATCACCCAACACACCACGAAAGAACTTACAGGAACCACAAACACCACCACCAAAAATATCACCAGGCCACGACTAAAATCACCACCAACGCATCATCAACAACCACCACAACCTTCAAACCTAAACAAATCATAAGCAAAAGTACAGCCATTCTTTCTTGCCAACTTGGCGTTCAAACATAAACTGGACTGTACCATTTGACAGAGCCACGCGCTTACCTTACAAACACGCATGTAAAAAATGTCACTAATTCCATGTTCCAAAAACAGGTGTGTGATTCGAACGTGGAATGTGCATAAAATTCATTGAAATTCCATGCTGTCACTCATTCATATACCAATTCCATCCAATTCCAATGTTCAAACATGTCTATTGAATTCTATTGATACATATTGATACATATTGATACATCTACACTGCTACACAAACGTGCAGGCCTTCCACATGAGCTTGGTGAGAGTCATATTGCTTTGAAACATCGCCTCGGGCGAAACTTGGAAGGTGGACCATGGTGAAGCCTTGATCAATCCATCTCAGCCAAATTAGATCAAATTAGCATAGCAGGCATAGCTTAAACCAAGCTGCAATAAAGCCCTCCAGCGCATCCTCCCCAAGTTTGTGGTTCCTGGGCTGGAATTCAACAGTTGAACCAAGTGGAACCCTCATAGCCAGATGATGGGAGCCTTGTTTGAGCACCCCCCTGACATCTTGGTGAGTTGATCATCAAACCGCACAAAGCTATTGAAGCTGAAGCGACTTGATTATCGAACAATCTAATGAGTAGTTTCCGGGCACGACACTTCATGATGTTTACCATTGTTTACCAATCTTCAAGCACAAATTCCAAAAACCAAATGGCGTTGTTGGCATTCAAAGGCCTTGACCATGCTCTGACCTCAACCGGGAAATGATCCTCTTGGGGCTTCAACCCATCATCGTGGTGAACATCAATCTTTCGGGATCCCTCCACCAACACCGACCCCGGATAGAACAATATGGATATCATACAATATCGCTAATATATCGCTAATTGATTGAGGATGAACCAAGAATAGTCATCATAGCATGTCATAGCATGTCATAGCATGTCATAGCATGTCATAGCATGTCATAGCATGTCATAGCATGTCATAGCATGCCATAGCGTGTCATAGCATGTCATAGCATGTCATAGCATGTCATAGCATGTCATAGCATGTCATATCTGCCAGTAATCTGGCATCCATCCAATTCCACTAAGCAAGCCAACCTTTTTTCCCCATGAGTTAACGCCCACCACAGTCAGCTAACCCAACCTAGCACCAAGCTGCTGAGTCATCAGGTTCAATGTCTTCACGCTGTGGTTGCTTCGCAGCCCCTGAGCTAAGGAGATGACGCCCCTGGAGGACAAGTGATTCTGCCTCGGCTCACATGGGGGTCACATGGGTGTCACCTGGGCTTACCTTCACCTTGGATCATCTTGTGTCTCAAGCGGATGCCCCTTCGAAGTGAAACAGAAACATAGGCTCACAGATTTTCAGCCGCCTTGAGCTTCCAATCGACGCTAAGCACCCACCTACTTTGATCAAAATACCCTCTCAAGAATAATGGGTAAGATTCGGTAAGATGTTCCTTCATTTGTGACTACAACATACTACAACCACAATCCATTCATTAGCCATTCACCCAACCATTGACCAACCATTCACCAACCCAGTTGCTGCAAATCCAAGTCCTCAATGCACTGATTCTCGGCCAGCGCCTGCCCAAGGGCCTTGCGGCTGCAAGTTGGCTACGACTGAAACCACTGTTTGAGAACCTCATGCAACAAGAACTTGAGGGCATCCTGCGAATGAACGGCGCCCGCAATTTAGTGCATTAGGATAGGATCATTAGGATCAAATATCATTATAGGATATTATAGGACCTTGTTGACAAAATATGCATGGATTGCATGGGTTCTTATTTGGCTTTGGGACCTGGCTTTCAAGTGAGGGCTCAAGACTTGGCCTCAGCACCAGCGTCAGTGATCTCGCATTCCCGCAACACCAGAGTCCTGGGCCGCAGGTGGTGACCTAGCCATAGACCCTTGGAGAGAATGTGAGGTACCTGCTCCTAGGGGCAATATGCAAACCTAGCCTTATGAGTCCAGCAACACAGAGAGGGTTTGACAACAAAAAAACACACACAAAAAAAAAAAAATCAGAGCAAACAAAAAAATCAAACTAGAAAACCAAAACCACGGAAAAAACAAGAAAAAAACAAAAAAACAACACGCCGACAAGAGAAACAACAAAAACAAACAAAAACACACACAAAAAAAAAACTGAGAAAAATGCAGGTTTTGTTTTTCCCCACCTGCCAGGTGAGGGTTGTTAGATTTTATGTCAGTTGCCTCCTCCTCCTTCTCCTCCTCCTCCTCCGCCTCCTCTCCTCCTCCTCCTCGTCCTCCGCCTCCTCTCCTCCTCCTCCTCGTCCTCCTCGTCGTCCTCGTCGTCCTCGTCGTCCTCGTCGTCCTTGCTCAACTGCGACCCGCGATCCACAGTGTTCTCTGCCGGACCTCAAACACGACCATCCACGCCCAGTGTTCCCTGCCGGACCTCAACCACGACCATCCACGCCCAATGTTCCCTGCCGGACCTCAACCACGACCATCCTCGCCCAGTGTTCCCTGCCGGACCTCAACCACGACCATCCACGCCCAGTGTTCCCTGCCGGACCTCAACCGCGAGGATCCACGCCAACGTTGTTGTTCCTGCCGGGACCTTTCATGGAGGAAGATATGGACAAAGGAATGTTGCAGAAGGAACAGTTTAGAAGAATGTCCCCCCAGAAGAATGGTCAGAAAAGATTTATGCGCCCAGAAAAGATATGCCAGAAAATATGCCAGAAGAATGCCAGATAGATATGCCAGAAGATATGCCAGAAGATATGCCAGAAGATATGTCAGAATATATGCCAGAAGATATGTCAGATAGAATGCCAGAAGATATGTCAGAATATATGCCAGAAGATATGTCAGAATATAGTTATGGCAAGGAGAAGATATTGCAGAAGGATGAGGAAAGTCAGAAAGGAAGCCAGAGATATTCAGGAATATATGGCCAGAAGATATGTCAGATAGAATGCCAGAAGATATGTCAGAAGATATGCCAGAAGATATGCCAGATAGAATGCCAGATTGAATGCCAGAAGATATGTCAGATAGAGTGCCAGAAGATATGCCAGATAGAATGCCAGAAGATTTGACAGATAGAATGCCAGAAGATATGCCAGAAGATATGCCAGATCATATGCCAGAAGATATGCCAGATAGAATGTCAAATAGAATGTCAGAAGATATGTCAGATAGAATGCCAGAAGATTTGCCAGTAAGAAAATGTATAAATGTCATGGTGGGGATCACATGAAGTAAAGTAATTTTTGTTTGTTGTTTTTCCCCACCTGCCAGGTGAGGGTTGTTAGGTTTGATCAGAGCTGTTCTCCTCCTCCTCCGCCTCCGCCTCCTCCTCCTCGCAGTCCAGATCCCAGTGGGCACCGCCGGACCTCCACCGCGAGCGCCAGATCCCAGTGGGCACTGCCGGACCTCCACCGCAGGCAAGCTCCAGATCCCAGTGGGCACTGCCGGACCTCAACCGCGAGCTCCAGATCCCAGTGGGCACTGCCGGACCTCAACCGCGACTTCCAGGTTGCGGTGGGCACTGCCGGACCTCAACCGCGACTTCCAGATCGCAGTGGGCACTGCCGGACCTCAACCGCGACTTCCAGGTTGCAGTGGGCACTGCCGGACCTCAACCGCGACTTCCAGATCGCAGTGGGCACTGCCGGACCTCAACCGCGACTTCCAGATCGCAGTGGGCACTGCCGGACCTCAACCGCGAGCTCCAGATCCCAGTGGGCACTGCCGGACCTCAACCGCGAGCTCCAGATCCCAGTGGGCACTGCCGGACATCAACGGCCAGATAGAATGCCAGAAGATATGCCAGATGGAATGTCAGATAGAATGCCAGAAGATATGTCAGATAGAATGCCAGAAGATATGCCAGATAGAATGCCAGAAGATTTGCCAGATAGAATGCCAGAAGATATGCCAGAAGATATGCCAGACAGAATGCCAGATAGAATGCCAGAAGATATGTCAGATAGAATGCCAGAAGATATGCCAGAAGATATGCCAGATAGAATGCCAGAACATATGTCAGAAAATATGCCAGATAGAATGCCAGAAGATATGTCAGATAGAATGCCAGAAGATTTGCCAGTAAGAAAATGTATAAATGCCATGGTGGGGATCATTCGAAGTGAAGTAATTTTTTGGTTTTGATTTTTATTGATGTTTTTTTTGTGTTTTCTTTCTTGTTTTTTCTTGATTTTTCTGGTGACTCTTCCTGTCGAGTTGTTTTTTTGGTGATTCGGTTTTTGATTGTGTTTTTTGTTTTTTTGCTAAAATCCACTTTCTCTGTTCTACTACACGGGGTCATAAACCTAGCCACATGGATTGCAACTTCTGGGTCTTCATGGCGCCAAACATGATTCGACTTTTTTCTGACTTTGTACTATTGCACGCAACACCACGCAACTGTGAGTGCTACTTATGGCTCCCGCCCAGTGCCAGTAGCATCCGATATCATCCGATTATTGATCTCCTAAGCTGGTTGACCTCGATTTCAGCTTGGTGGATCATCATGCCCCCCAAAGAATCACACATCATTTCACGTGGGACCAGCCATTGATATCCTCAAGTACTGTTGGTTATACTTCAGGTATCCCCACTCTGGGTGGTTACAACATGTTCCAACCATGGGGCATTTCAAACATTTAAAAAAACCTCAGCCAGAGCCACCAAACCGCGGATCCCCGAGACCCGTGCTTGACCACCGTATTCTTCTTCAGGGCCTCCGAAAGGGCGATGGTATTCTCCAAAGACTTCCTGACCGGTGCCACTTGCGGCATTGCACAGGCATGCAGAGATCCACTTAGATCCACTGAGGAAACATCTTTGCACTTCCAAATTTGCCATCTACGGACGTTCTGGGGTCCGTATGGAAGAAATGACATCTTTATCCGTTTTCAAACAAGTTCATGCATCTATCCAATTTCTACTTGTTGTGCTCAGAGGCTCCGCCCGAGCCCTAATAGCCTAAGGTCCGGACATGCAAAAGGACGCATTCTTCGTCAAATCCAGCGTTTCACCTGGTCGGATGCAAAATTCAAAAAGGCCTCGATCCAAGCACGACACGGCCATCTGGGTCAAAGTTGGGGCACCCAACAAAGGATGGTTGCTGGGTGTACAGATACAGTTATACAGTATATATATACAGTATAATATATATATGTTGAATGAGCTCCCAGTGCCTTCATTTTGGTTCTCAGGGCACTATTTGTCAGAGTTATCCGCGACCTTCCGCGGGTCGCAGCCGGCTGCATTGATTGGAGGCATTGATTGGATCTTTGATCCCCCAGGGTGGGGGAGGACTAGGGCCAGTTCAGCTGATACAGCTTGCAGCATTAAACATGCTCACTCATGTTGAATGAGCTCCCAGTGCCTTCATTTTGGTTCTCAGGGCACTATTTGTCAGAGTTATCCGCGACCTTCCGCGGGTCGCAGCCGGCTGCATTGATTGGATCTTTGATCCACCTTCGACCAGGGCCTACAGTGTACTAAGAGCTTAGCTAAGCTTGTGCACAACTGTGCGCTGCTGGGCCACAACTTGCAAGTAAGTTGGCATGAGGTCCCGTAAGTCACAGATCCTCTGCCGGATTTCTGGCAGCAAGGCTGGAAGGATTGAAACTGCAGTGGTCTCCTGGAGGTAAAAAGACAACGTCTGCTGGTGTTGCAATCTCATACGCCAAAGCAAATCAGAAATACTCATACCCTTCTTATGGGCCGCAACGGCCCCACCGCCTCGTAGTGAACCTGGAGTCAGTCTATGCACTTTTGTGACACCGATGTGCTGCAAAATTTTGTCCCACCGATATCTGAAAGCTCCAGCGGTGCTGCCGTACAAAAAATCGTCGGCAGCTAAAGGGCTCCAAATGGCAGAAACAAAATGAACAACTAGAGGGTATTGAGATCTAGCACCTCTTCTCCGGGTCTTTGGTTCGTGAATTTTCACATAGATGACGAGGCTGTCATCCAAAACATCACTTGGCAGCAAAACGTCTCTTCTCCTGGCTTTGATGAACTCCCCTACCCTACAGATAGAAAAGAAACACCCCAGAAGTACAGCAGCCCACCTGTTCCACTGCCATGACACGGCCACTGTGGCCATAGCTCTGACTAAAGGCTCCGGCATGGGAGGACGATGTTGGATAGGCTCCAGCATCTCCCACTTTCTCACTGTGTCCCAGGCAGCAAACATGTAAAGACGCAACTGCGGATGCTCTCTCTGAACATGTGCAAGCAACTGTCTGTAGTAAAACAGGGGGCAGCCAGTCTCAAAAGCAAAGTACCCAAAAGCCACCAGCAAGGAAACTGCTAAGCTCGGCACGCGGAGCCAACATAAAAAGTCGGCGTTGGGACACTCCATCTCAAACCAGTCCAAAAACCGCTGCATGACTCGCGCTCTGATAGCTATAGTTGCAGGTTCTAGAAGCTCCACATCTCCCAAATGGATGGGGGGCCTTTGCCCCGGGGCGCGACGAGGCCCCGGGTGAGATGCCTCCCCAATCCGGCAAGAAGACTGCCGGGCGCAAAGATTCACGTCCAGCTTTCGGCGTTCGCCCAAAAAACCTGCATCTCTTGCTATCGCTCCAGCCAACATGTTGCACAATCCCCTCGGGTAGGGTTCAGCCAGTTTTGTCATGTTCATCTTTCTCTGTTTGCACCTCCCGCGCAGAACCAAATGGTGGCCCTTGCAAATACAGAACAGCTTCTGCCCGCCTAAGTGACTGTTGGTCCGAAACCTAGTTCTCTTTCGCCACTTTGTGCCGAAACGGCAAAAGTCCGCCCTGAAATCATCGACGCCAGGACGTCTCAAAACGCTGCTCCAGCTCAAGTCAGGGCGTCTCTGCCTCCACATCCAAGACCCATCAGGGTTCTCCACAAAAAAGATCACCCCTGCATCCAGGCACGCAAGAGTGATCTGCAAAACAAAAGCCAAAAAGTTGTTGCCCAGTTCATTCTTCAGCTGTTGCTTTTCTGAGCACCAATCGACCCCTTCGGGATGCTCGATGGTGCGCACTGGCGGTGTTATGGCTGTGCTGAATGACGCACAGACAGGTCCAGCTCCCATGGCGGCAAAGAGTCCTAGCCTAACTAGCCTTACTAAGTTGTGTTGGAGGGGGGTTTTACTAAGATCTTCCGAAACAGAGTGCTCAATGTCGAAAGTGAGGACCCAAGTTTTCGCGGTCCGCACCATCGCTTTCGAAAATCCTCTGCTTCCAGAAAAAAGGTCTAACACCCCTGGGCCGTCACCGATTGCCTCCTCCAAACTGGCGTAGCCTTCTGACCACAAAAACTGAGAGCTGTCAAACTGGCTAAGCTCAAGAAGCGCGCGTTTCTTCTGCGCCTCCGACTTCCATTGGGACTTCTGGCTCGCCTCCTCAGCTCTGGCATTGACGCTATCAGCGCCACTTCCGTTTTCTTCTGATTTGGAAACTGCATGCATCAAGTGGGTGC